TTGAACCAGGGGTAGACGCCGTCGGGAAACAAAACACAGGGGGGAAAAAGCGATTTATCGTCTTGAAGGCCCGCGGCTACCGTGGTTACTATTGATACCGCTGAAATACCCCTCGTCGATCTTCAATATCCACTCGATCTTCTGGGCTTCTGTCCTCGATGCAAAAAGGAACGTGTTCTGGGCCCCAAATACCGCAAAGACATTAGGTTGGCCGCGCGCAGACAGCCCATTCCCACTGGATCCAACCAGCAATCTAGCAAAGTCCGGATCATGATCGACGTGGGAGTTGCGGAGGTTGATGACGTTTATTTCATCACCGTCGGGGACAGAGTAGATGTGTAGATAAGGTAACCTGAGTTCGACGAAGCGGCGCACCCAAAGACTGTAGGTGTCGTCGGGGGTGTACAAGTAGCCTGATTTAAGCACCGTGGGGTTCTTGGGGATGTGTGTTATTGTAGCGAGGAAGCGGGGTTTGGAGGAAGATCGGTCGGTGGAGGTAGATGTTGATGGCTGAGAGGAGGTGTTGGCGCTGGATATCACGCTGTCGTTGTCTGTGGATGTGGATGCGGTTGCGGTTGGGGCGAACGCGGCGCCTTGCAGGGGAGGTTCTATGTGGCCTTTTACGAGGATGGTGTCGGTGGGATCTTTGCTGGCGGACCAGAGACTGAGGTATTTGCGTAGTAGCTGTTCGCGTCTCTCGGCGTGTTCAGGGGTATTTCGTTGTAAGGGGGTTGAGTGGCCGTTTGCGGATAGGGGGGTTAAGCTGCCGTCACTCAGTGCTGCTCGAGCCGCTTCGATCTCAGCTATACGATGTCGTCTCTTCCGCGCAGCTATGTAGTCTTTTATCAAGGAAACTTTTCTAGGGGACCAGGTAGTAAGCAGTTCTTCTCCCTTGATGTAGTCGTTCTGGGTATTCATGCGCCACAGGTCCGCTGCGCGTTTCGCGGAGACTGGCCGCACGGCGACAGAGAACATCTGCGACGTCGAATGGACTACTCGCGTAGAGCTCCAGAACTGCTTGAACATCGACTGGGGCCGAACGCTAGATCGACCAAGGATCTGCAGGCACTGGTCTAGCTCGAAGACAATTGGTTCTTGTAGACGTGAAGAAATCAAGTTCCACCGCAGCGTGATCTGGACCTTATATTTATCCGCCGTCGTGCGATCGAGAAGCAGTGAGCCATGAGAACTCGAATCCCACTGTCCTATGATGGTGATATTCGAAGACCCATCCGCATTATCCTTGACCATGGGCTCTTGGATCATTTTCAGCGGAATATCAGCGGATTTGCCATCGTCTAGATCAGGGACTTTGCCCCACGGATCAAGTAGTCTGATACCACCGACTCGTAGACCAGTAACGTCGTCCCACGGCAAACTCTCAGTCGAGCTATGAGCCAGATTAACAACGATACGGCGCTGCAAGCCCTGATGAAGCTGATACGTTCCAGCCTCGAGACTGTTAGCCTGCACGACGTCGACGGGCAGGTACTCGCCGTTCTCCGCTAATTCAAGAATCTGCACACCCGCAAAGACATCATGTCTTTCTTCCTGGAAGTACTCTGACTCCGCTATACGAGGGGCCTTGCGTTTCTGGGGCGGAGCCTCAGGAGCATCGCGCATTTCATCCCAACTAAGCAATTTGTCAAGATGCATGCTCGACACGAGGGCGAAAATGCTGACTTTCAGCGTCGACGTTCGCGGGCTATTGAGCGGTAGACTCATGCTATGCACGCTTTCGAACTGGATTGGGTTCTCATCGAAGCCGTTGATGATTTGCGTGGTAGTAGCGCCGCCTTCTTCCGATATTCCAGGCACGAACAGCTGGGCGTGGACATCCGTGCCTTCACGTTCGGCGAAACCAACCAGGTCGCGCATCACGACGTTGAATTTCAGTGTTGACGAGGGCGCTTGGGCTGCAGAGGGCTCGAGGGAGAGCCGGAGTATGCCGATGACGTTCTGGGTGTACATTGACAGTACTTCGACGGAGAAATCTTGGACTCTGGACTCGAAGACTGCTGTGAGCGGGATGTCTACGTCTCCTACTAGCGAGTATGTGGGTGAACATTGCTCTGAGAAGGGGTTCTCGAGTTTGAAATGTTGGATATAGTCTGGTCGATCGATGTATTGATGCATCTGCCGCATGGCCTGCACACGACGTTCAAGTTTGTCCAACGACCAGAGCAGGATGACGTTGTGTTTGAAATCAATCACTCGGACGGCAATGCAGGGCTTCTTCGCATCGTCGAGAGCCATGTCGTCGTCCCCTGATATGCCGTTTAGTACGAGATCGTAGGACGAGCCCATGTTCTGGCCTACATCGACGATGGCGAATTGGAAAAAGACGTGTTTGTCCATTATATGGCTCATTACTTGCGCTTCTTTGAGGAGCGAGGCGTGTTGGAGGACGGACTCGACCATGCGGACGTAGTTTCTTCTTCGCCAGTGTGCGAGGACGTTGCGGGCTACTTCTATCTCGCGTGGTTCGAGGAAGGAGAAGCCAGGTCCGTCCTCCGTCATGTGGCCGGATAAGTGAGCGATGCCCTTGATCTGCGTTTCAAAGGCTTCCTTTTGGCGCTGGAGCTGCTGCTGGAACTCTTCTCGAGCTTCCATCAGGGCCTTTTCCATTCTCCCCTTTTCAGTGTCCGGTTCGTTGGCGCCATTGGAATTGCCGTTGGAGTTGGAGGAGTTGGCGTTGGAGGGAGACCCGTTGGATTCATCGTATTCGCCCTGTTTCGGCGTCCCGGGCATCGTCAAGGCAGTGTCAAGCGAGAAATTGTCAATGGTCCCGTTGGACATGTACTTCTCGCGAATAGGGTATGAGCTCAACGAATCCGAGTCCTCCTCCATATCCAAGAAGCGATTCTCATAGAACCCTTTCCGCACCGCGCGGGCCTTCTGCACATCATCGAACAATGCATCTAGCTCGTCGTCTGTAAGAGCGGATATCTTGTGGTCGGTACCTAATATCGCATTCGCAGCTTCACGTCGAGCATAAAACCAGTCCTCCCGTCCGTTACTCCCGCCTCCTCGCTGGGACGGCATGGGCGAGCCAGAACGGCTCGAGTCACCGTCTATCTCGGAGCCGGTCTTGCTTATGGTTCGATCGTGTCCTGGCCCGGACCGGCCGGGTGTATTTGAGTTCGAACCAAGCTGGCTTGTCGTGACGGAGTGACGGAGGAGGCTCTGCTCTACCCTCTCGGCACGGGCTTCCATGGGGTGATTGAACCGGAAAATATGGAAGTCTCCAAGAATTATCCTGAACCCACTCCTGAGACGCTGGGGACTATCTATTCGCACGCCGTTGACCATCACCGCTGCGCCCTCACATGGAATAACAGTGACGATGTTATCGACATGTTCAAAGGTGCAGTGTTTGTGCAGTATTTTCGATCCGTTAAGACGTATCTCGCATGCCGAAGAGGTAGCGTCAACGTTACCTACCGTCGTTGTGCCCGGTTTGATATTGTAGACCAAACACTCTGCCAACAAGGGGTCGTCTGACAAGTTGACTAGATGGGGCATCTTCTTGGGCGTGCTGAGACCGACGAAGCCCTTTTCAATGGAGATACCGAGTTCTTCGAGCGCGGCTTCTCGCTCCTTGTGAATTTCCTCTGTCTTCTGCAGCTTCTCTTCCCAGGTCTGGTTGAGGTCCTTGTACAGCTTCTCACTTTGGTCGAGCTGTTCGACGATCTCTGCTTTGCTGACTTTCTTGACTGAACCATCGGCCTGCATGATGGTAACCATCTGTTCCTCCAGAGGTGTTCCGGGCGGGTATTCCTCCTGTGGTATTCCGGTGGAAGAAGTAGCTGAGGCCGCAGCTCCAGGTACACCAGCCGCGCCGCCACCAAGCTTACTTCTCAACTGCGCGAGTTCCTCCTTGAGCTCGCGAATCATCCTGGCGTTCGGATCCTCGTTGACAACAGCATGGTTCTTGATGCGTTTGGCGGAGTTGGCGTACCGTAGCGTGCTCAGGGTTTCATCATAGTTGATATCCGCGGGGGAAATAGCTGCAATCATGGCCGTCATCGAGTTACCTCCCAACGAATCCTTGAGCAGCCATGTCAACACCGAATCTCGATACGGCACTACAGCCTTCTTCTTGCCCGAAGAGAGATCAGCCAGTGCGGCAATGACTCGTCCCAACGTGGACAGCGAACGATTAATCTCCGCTCCCTCCTTGAGCCTTGCACCCGTGGCTCCCGTCGAAGTAGCTCTCTCTGAACCCGCGAGATCCACCAGACTGATCCTAGAAACCTTCTCGGTATCCATGATGGTCTCCTTATCATGCCTCTTCTGCGTAAGGGTGAGGGTAAACACCGCATGCGATCTACTCGAGGTCTCATTCATATTCGTAGCCGCAACCGTCCTGGCCTTATTCCCCTCATCCATCAAATGCTCTATCTCCGAAAAACTCTGCACAACCAGCTTCGCCAGGTCTTCCACATAAGGTCCCGTAGAAGGATGCTCGCGCACCTTGAGATTCCCCTTATTAGCCGGGTTAAGCAAATCCCGCACCCGCTCATTGTAGATTTCCAAATACGACACTTCGACGGTAGACGTCAGGTTGGCGTCCGCAACCTGCATGGTCGATATACGCTGGAACATCTCCTTGCAGATCTTGGGGATGACGCCAGCCTCTTCGCCGTATCCCATCATGGAATACGACTTGCCGGAGCCCGTCTGGCCGTATGCGAAGATGCAGTTGTTGTAGCCCTGGAAGGCATTGTCGAGGAGCGGCGCACCGAGATCGGAGAACAGGTCGTCTTGTCCGGCGTAGTTGGGGGCCTTTCTGTCGAAGGACCAGTATGATTTGTCGAAGGCGAAGACGCGGGGGCCCTCGGGGACAGCGTTGGCTCCTGTGTTGGAGGATTTTCCGCCCTTTCGAGACTTTTCTTCGGCGCCGGGGGGAGGGGTGAGCACCGTCTGGGCGCCTTTCATTTGGACTATGCATTTTGCATTCCGGTCGCGTTCTACAGGAGTTAGCTGGACGTTATCTATTAAAAGGAAATAGCAAGGAATAGAGATGGGAGGAGAGAGATACCTCTTGAGTTGAACGGGCGGACGCGCACGACGACCTTGATGTTTCCTCCGCCGCCCTCCATGGTGACTGGGCTGGGGGGAAGTGTCAGGCGAGGGGGGGAGCGCGGTAGAAGAGGAGAAGGTAGAAGAAGAAGAGGTGGTGGTGGTGGAAGGTGGTGGGAGCGGAGAGACGGCAGAGGGAGGCTGCCATCTACTCCGGCGACGAGAGCGCGTTGAGCACGGCTATGCAGTGGATTAGATGTTGATGTTGATTGCCTGCAGTAAATAAAAGCAGTCCGCGGATGTTGTAGATGCATGGATGAGGTCGAAGTAGAGGTGAACGAGCCACAGTTAGTCAGCACAGCCTCATTAGTCATCACACTTTAACTCAACCACCACGACTACTATCAAGTATTACTATCAGACATTGCTATTACTGGAGATATCAGAGATATACTAGATATACTAGAGATAGAGATAGAGATATGTATGTATATACCGAGCTTGATTCGCATCATCACATCACTCTTATCGACAAGACGCAACTAATTAACAAACAGTAAGAAAGAGAAAAGAAAAGAGAAGAAAAGGGTAGAAAACAAAATACATATAGGATCGCCCTAGACACTCTTTAGCTTCAATTTTTTCAGATACACGCGGAATAGACAGACAAAAGAGAGAACAAACGAAATACAAAGGAAATAACAGCAAAAAAAACAAGGGAAAAAGGAAGAAAAGAAGAAGAAACCGGTCCATCCTATCCTATCCTATCCATCCGCCGCGCTCATGCTGAAAGAAGAGGAAAAGACGAAACAACGAGATGAGAGGAACTAGCAAGGGACCTGCTAAGCGAGATAGACGAGAGACGAGAGACGAGAGACGAGAGGGGGTATAATAATGGTATGTATATATAAACGGAAGGAAGCAAATCACAACAAGAGGTAGATGGAGAGGTCAGCCATCTTCGTCCTCGGCGTCACTGGTCTCAGTAGGAGCAGCGGCGACGTTGGCGTTGGCACCTGTTCTAAGGGGAGATGTTTTGGGCTTCTTGGAGCCCGGAGACGAAGACTCGGCTATGCTCTTCCTCTTCTGGCCGGTGACTTCTTTGTTCTCGTTTGTAGAGGCAGAGTTGTTATTTGTACCAGTTGATCCGCCCTGTGCTTTTTCCATGGCGGCTACTTCGTCTGCGGTCAAGAAGCGGCCTCCTGGACCTCTTGGTCTGCGCATGGCGTGGTTGTGTCGTGATTCATGCAGGTATGGCTTGCGGCCCTTGGAGGTGAGACGGAGCTGTTCTTCGAGTTTTTGGCGGGCCACGCGTCGCTTGAGGATGCGATGGAACTGTTTTGCGTTGACGTAGAGGGGAGATTCTTCTGCGGGGGGACCAGGAGGAGCTAGTTCGGGAGACGGTTGGGGTTGTTGTTGTGGTGGTGGAGGAGGAGCTTGTGTCTGTGATTGAGGTTGTGGTTGTTGCGATTGTGGCGGTTGTTGTTGTTGCTGTGGTTGTGGTGGTGGTGGTTGCTGTGGCTGTCGAGGCATGGAGTGAGGACTGCCGGAGAGCTGTTGGGACATGCGTCTCTGAGCAGCGGCGGCGGCAGCAGCAGCAGCGGCCGATGGTTGTGCGTGGGCCTGCTGAGGCGACTGTCTGGGTCTCTCGTTCTTGATGGGGAGGCGCGTCGAGTCCTGGTGCAAGGGGAAAAACTGGCCCGTGGCAGCAGCGGTGGCCATGGCGGCGGCCTGGGTCGGAGAGATGCCATAAGGGGCGTAGCTCTGGGGGAAACTCATCTGGCCCGGCTGGGGAGGTTGACCTTGAGATTGGGGTTGCTGCTGTGGAGGAGGATGTTGCTGAGGTTGTTGTTGTTGTTGCTGCTGCTGCTGCTGGGGTGGTGGTGGTGGTGGTGGTTGCTGGGGCTGTCCCTGGTAGTGAGGGTGCGGCTGAGGCGGCACTATGGGCGACGCCTGGTGCTGAGGCTGCTGGTACTGAGCGTACTCCATCTACACAGTCGTGTTATTAGTAAGTTGGGTATCAAGTGACGGTCAGGTAGGGCCAGAGTGAGGCAGGCCAGGGTAGAAGGGGGGGCGGCGCTGCAGCCAGGCCAGGGAGCAGGCCGTCGGGTATATTATATTTTTGTAGAGGGCGAGGGCGAGGGCGAGGGCGATGCGTTGGCAGCGGGAGCTTGTGCATGCAGCACGTACCAAGCGGGTCCGACAGCGCAGACAGCGTCAACGCAGAACAGTCAACAGTACAAAGTAACAGCGTCAAGGCAGCAGTAATATAGACACAGGCAGTAATAGCAATAGCAATAGCAATAGTAGAGAGTAGAGAAGAGAGTCAAGAGTAAAGAGAGAGAGAGAGAGTAAACAACGCGACGCGAGGCCCCCTGGCTTGCTGGCTGCAGGCTGCGGGCTTGCTGGGTCGAGCACGGTCACGGGAACAGCGAGGTTGGCCAGTGAGAGGCGAGAGACTTACTGGAAGGACAGCGGTAGTAGAGAGCCAACAGCAGAGAGTAGAGCAGACAAGACTAGTAGAGTAATAAGAAGATGAGAGAAGAGACGAGAGAGAGAGATGGTTGGTGGTTGTCGCGGGTGGGCGCAGCGACGAATGAAAGGCAGAGAGAAGACGAGGGAGAAGAAGACGAGGAAGAAGGACGAAAGAGAAGAAAGAGAAGAAGAGGAAAAGAAGATGCTTGGAGGAGGCAAAAGGGAAAAAAGGCAGAAAAAAGGGCGAACGAGGGCGACGGGGACCTTGCGCTTTTTAAGGCGAAGAAGCCAATGAGAAGGGGGATGCTTAGGTAAGGGAGGCTAGGGAAGAGACTAGGAGGGAGACTTAAGAAGAAGAAGAAAGACTAGAGAGAAGAGATGGAGACTCGAGGAAGAAGAAGAAGAAGAGAAGAGAGTTAAGTAGAGGAAGAAGAAGACTCACCGCAAGAGTCGTTGGGCAGGAAGAGAAGAAGGAAGACTAGAGAAAGAGTAAGAGAAGAGAAGAATAATAAGAGAGTAAGAGAGAGTAATAAGAGAAGAAGAAGAAGAAGAAGGCGAAGTTGGTTGGGCAGCGGTGAGGGCTTAGTCAGGGCTTAGTAAGGCAGTAGAGGGAAGAGAAGAGAAGGAGACGATAAAGTAGGAAGAAGTAAGGAAGAGAAGGAGAAGTAAGAAGGAGAAGAAGAGTAACCTTGGAGACAGCTCAGCCTTCGTTGTCATCGTCATCTTTTCTTCTTCTTCTTCTTTTCTTTTCTTCTTCTTTTCTTTTCTTCTTGTTATTATTATTTTTCTTGTCTTTTTCTTCTTCTTTTTTTTTTCTTTTTTCTTTCTCATTTTCACTCGTCACATCCACTAACTGCTTCAGGCCTAGCGGGTCCTTTTTTTAGGGACGTCAGAAGTGGGGATAGCTTAGTAAGATGTGACTAACCATGGATGACTACAATGACTATTATGTAAGTGCCAGTCACATGATGCTACTCCCCCGTCGCTGGCCAACTTTGCGGCTTCGGCGAGACTTCTCAGCTTCTCTTCGTCTTCTTCTTCTTCTTGCTGGCCTTTCTTTGCTTTGAGGCTCGATCTTCGCAAGCTGCGCAGTCTTTCAGTCACTCCAAGAGGCATCTCATCTCATCATCCATTCTTCTTCCATTCTTCTTCATTCTTCTTCTGCTGGTAACTAACTACCCTTTCTCCCTCCTTCGTCCTGCTCCTCACTCTTCGCCTTCATCTTCTCCAGTCATGTCTTCTTCTCTGCCTTCTTCTCTTCTTCTACCGCTGCCTCCATCTTTGCCTCCTTGACTCTTCCTCTCTATACTCTACTCTCTCTACTCTATGCTCTCTGCTTCCTCCTGCTTCCTCCTTCCTGCTTCCTTCTGCCTCCTCCTCTAACGAGATGCTAGCTTCATGGACTACGAGTCCTTCTCTCCGCCGGCACCCAAGGCGGAGCCCAGGTGGGCCGACGAGGATCCCTTCCACCACGACTTCCGCCGCTCTCGTAGGTCTTCCTTTACCTCTACTTCTTCTTATTATTAGATGGTGATACTAATAGTCCAGTAGCTGACAGGAGGAGGAGACGCTCAAGGAGCCCGGCCGCCATAGACAGGTACCAGCCAGAGAGAGAAGTGCGCGACAGAGACAGAGACAGGGACAGAGAAAGACGTGAAGACTACTACAGTCGCCGCCGTCACCCTTCCCCCGGCGCTGCAAACATAGACAGATACATTCCCGGGCAACAAGATGGATCGTCTGCTTCCTTGACTTCTTCTTCTTCTTCCAAGCCCGTGCCGCGCTCAAACCCCATCCCGGCTCCCCTCACCCTAGACTACCAGGTCGGATTCAACTACTTCGCCGAGTGGTGGCGCACGGAGAACGCCATCAAGGAAGAGAAAGAACGGGTCAGACATGGCCTGCCTCCCGCCGCCAGACGGGTCAAGGGCGAGAGAGAGGCCAGGGAAGACAGGGAGCGGGAGCGGGCCCAGATACAGACCGCCTACGATGCCTACAAGGCAGACCTGCAGATGAAGCTCGCCAGGCAGTTTGTCCAGATGCACAGGGCTGAAGAGTGGTTCAGAGAGCGCTACGTGGCAGACATACGCGACCCTTTCAGACAGAGACTCGCCCAGTTCCGGGTTTCAGCATATGACCAGTGGTGTGCAGACCTCGCATCGGGCGTCTTTGACGAGTTCACGCTCGAGGGTATCTACAAGAGCGAAAGTGATGGAGCCGGAGGCATAGTCGAGAAGGAAGAAGGCGAGGCGACGGCCGTCGGTGAGACGCTGGGAGTCCTGGACCTGGTGCCTGCGCGGGGAGCCGATCTCAGAGACGACTCCATCCTCCAGCCGGCCCTGCTCATCAAGACCCTTGCGCCCAATGTCAGTCGCGAGAAGATAGAAGAGTTCTGCAGAGAGCATCTCGGTGAAGTCGACGGCGGGTTCAAGTGGCTCAGCTTGAGTGATCCCAACCCCTCAAAGAAGTACCATCGCATAGGCTGGATCATGCTGCATCCAACATCTGCAGATGACGCCGCTGCTGCCACCGTCGTCGACCGAGGAGACGGGCGAGACGAAGAAGTAGAGGAAGAAGAAGGGGAAGAAGGGGAGATGGATACCGAAAGGACTGGCCAGAAGAATACATCTTCTTCTGCTGCTGCTGCTTCACAGTCCCTCGCCGAGCGCGCCCTGGAAGCCGTCAATGGCAAGACTATCACCGATCCCGTCAGAGGCGACTTTGTCTGCCATGTCGGTGTCCATGTCCCGCCCGCCAACCCGCGCAAGAAGGCCCTCTGGGACCTCTTCTCGGCCCCCGAGCGCATAGAGCGAGATCTCGATCTTGCGCGCAGGGTCGTAGCCAAGTTCGACGCTGCCATGGACGCCGCCGATGGCATGACCAGGATAGAAGAGCGGGTAGAAGACCTGCGCGGCAAGGGTTGGCTCCAGCCCCCCGTCAGCGGGCCAGTCAGAGTCAAACACAACAACAGCAACAGCAACAACAATAACAACAATAACAACAGCCATCTCGACCCAGAAGCTGACATGATCCTCCTCGACGACGGGGATACACCCGGCAAAATGGTGGACGAGGAAGGCGAAGACCCAGACCTCGATGACTCCGACGAGATAGACACAGAAGACCTGCTCGCAAAGAAGAAAACCCTCGATCTCACCGTCGAATACCTCCGCCGCGTCCACAACTTCTGTCTCTACTGCGTCTTCGAGTCCGATTCCGTCCACGAGCTCGTCCGCAAGTGTCCCGGCGGCCACCTGCGCCGTCCTCGATCCGGCCTCTCCACCCACGCCAAATCAGCCGCCCGTGCAAGCGCGATAGGCGCGCCCTACCCTTCCAAAAAGGACTCCACCAACACATCAGCCGCCGCAGCCGCCGGTCACAACAACAACAATGACGAAGAGGAAGAAGGAGAAGCTCCTGCTTCGCCCGCAGAGGAGAAGAAACCGCCGCGCTTCTCGTCCAAGAGCGAACAGCAGATCTACCGCGCTTTCAACTGGGTGCGCACCTTTGAGGATAAGCTCATGCAGATCCTCGAGCCGGAGAATGTAGATCTCAAGAAGCTCGGAGGCAAACCCGTCGACGAAGCCGTCGAAGATGAACTCGCTCGCTTCGTCAAGCAGGAGGACGAATCCAAGTTCCGCTGCAAGGTGCCCGAGTGCACCAAGCTGTTCAAGGCGCATAACTTCTGGCGCAAGCACGTCGAGAAGCGCCACGAGGAGTGGTTCGCCGAGATAAAGCACGAGGTAGGTCTATCTCATCTTACATATTACACCTTACACCCAATTGCAACGTCTCCTTTACTAACTTCTGTAGCTCTCGCTTGTAAACGCCTACGCCCTCGATCCAGCACACATCTCACCCACCCGCTCCGACGCAGCCAGCAACGGCCACTTCCCCTTCCCGCCAGGCCACATACCCGCCGGCACCCCGCGCGGATTCAACTACAACACCATGCCCTTCATCTCCAACACAGCCTCCTTCAACGGCATGTCCGTGGCCAACCACGCTGCCGGCTCTAACCCTATGCTCAACATGCTCCCGCACGACGGCCTGCATCACCACCAGCACCATCCAGGCGTCATCCGGCGCGGCGCAGGGCGCTACGCTCACTCTCATCGCTCTGGACCCTACGATCGCAGAACAGCACGGCATCCCATGTCCGGTCCTCCAGGGGCAGGTCGGTTGTCCCCTTCTCGCTCGATGTTCGGGCGTGTCTCCATGCCTATTCCAGCAGGGCATCCGGCCACGGCGCTCATGGGTGCTGGTGCAGCAGGTGTGCCGGGCGGACGATGGGATGCAACCGCGCAGCAGGCGATGGGGCCCAAGGAGGCCGTGCAGGGCCGGAGCTTGAAGAGTTACGAAGATCTCGATGCCGTCGGGGGTGCCGGCGGAGGAGAACTCAACTACTAACCTACTCCCCTCCTATCTACTACCTATTTATCTTCACCACCTACATCTACCTACCTACCTACCTACCTACATTGCATTCTCTAGTCTTTCATATGTCTACCTGTCCGTCCGTCTGTCCGTCGGTTGCCGTCGTATCATGTACGCTAACAAAGTTATCTATCTCAAAAAATAAATCTCCATTAATCTACTCTTCTATTTCCACCATCAATCACATCCGTATCACCACCCGCTCACCTGCATCCCGCCACTCCACGCCTTCCAAACCCGCTATCGCCCTATCACTAGCCATGTATAGAACAAGGTACATCGCACCCACCACCTCTCCCCACGTACACACACGAACCTCCACAGCTCGTCTTCCACCACCACCGCCTCCTCCTCCTCCCCCATCTCCTTGCTCATCCACAACCTCCTCCGCAACACACCACACCCCCCACCCTGCCCGGCCCGACCCCACGTACTCACCCAAATACCCCCAGAACCGCATGAACCGCTCCGCACTCCACCCACCGCCATCGAGTACAACAGGGATACGTAGAAACCAGTATCCGCGCTCGCACACCCGCAGCTCTCGCGCGATGTACCCCGGTGCGTACCGACGGGATAATTTCGGATGGCAGACTAGCATGCGCAGCGCGGGCGTGAGATGCGTTTTGAACCGCGCTGTGGACGACGGGATGGGGTGCGGCGGATGAATCTCCTTTGGAAAATGCAATTCATCGCTTACCACCTGCGAAGCTTCCTGTGTAGATACCTGCGTAGAGACCTGCGATTCCACCTGCTCCTGCTCCCGTTCCGATAGGGAGGTGGTGGTTTCAGATGAAATGGAAATATATACCGGCACAGACTTGATAGGCGATGCGTCGGGGGTGGTATTCCGCTCTATACCCGTCCATGTCAACGGCGGAGTGGGCGTGGGCGTTGGCGTGGGTGTGGGCGTGGGCGTATCCGTTCGATCCGACTCTGCCTCCGAGTAGCGTATGGGCGAACCACCCGCTGAATCAGGTACGGTAGACGGAGGCGTGGGCGTGGGTGTGGGCGTGGGCGTGTCGGTGCCATCCCGCACTTCCGGCTCCGGCACCGGCTCTGGCTCCGGTAGTGCTTCCTGCGTACATGGCCAGGAACTACTGAACGATCCGAAGGTGGTTTCGCCTTCATCCCTGCTTGATGGAGAAGCAGGCGCTTGTTCGTCCAGCGTAAGACGCGTTCGCCTGCCGGGCTCGAAGGCTAGACATGCCGTGGCGTGGGAGCGGTATCTCGTGTCGTCTCGTACGCTGCCGGGAGCGGATATGTGTACTAATACCTCGACGGAGCTGGAGTTGGAGTTGGACTTGGAGCTGGAGCTGGTCGAGAGCTGGGACATTAAGGATCAAGGAGCGAGGGGGAGGAAGGTATCTGTTGGCGATGGGCTGTTCGGGAGGCCTAGACCAGAGCCAGCGTGCATTTTGCTGTATGGCTGGGCGGGTATGCTTGGTAGGTATGTAGTTATGTACCTTGCTGCCGTGCGTGCCCGGTGAGGTTGGCAGGCTGGTTGGTGGTTTGGAAGAATGCAGGAGATTTCAATTTCATCCAGGTGGACTAAGTTAGCGCGTGCGTGGAGCCTGCGGCTATTAATTTCCTCTACGCGTCATTGGACGATAGCCGCCTGTTGACAATACTCTGCTCCATACACATATAGTACATATTTAGAGAACTCCATATTTATCCAATAATGGCCTATACAATGACGATACACGAAATTCCTTTGTGAGGGTCCGACTCGATCACAGTTTTCGGACAAGATGAATGCCCCCTGAGCCACTCGATGTTGTTGAACTCTTCATACACGTCCTTGACTCTGTGAGTATTTGGGTCAAGCGTGATAAAGGCAACACCCGCAGTAGGCAGCATGCCAGGCCGAGATTCAGCATGCAACGTAAACCTGAATGCGATGGAGTGGCAACCGTGGTCCCAGGCCATCACATCAATGATGCCGCCCGCAGCGGACAGGTCGTTTTCATTGAAATGGGTAAAAAGTTCATTCCTGTTATAGAACACAGGGAGTGAAACCTGGATGGTTACATGGATTAGCACGCTCTTCTGTTTGCCACATTCCGACTATCACTACCTAATACAATAGGTAAGGAGAAGAAGAAGGGGAGAAACGGGCATACCATGCGACCGCCGTTGACGCTGTTCTGGCTCTCAGAAAATAGACGAAAGCTTTCGTGGAACAGTTCATGCTGTTGGTCGTGTTTTCGAGATACCTTGACATCGATCCATTTCTGAAGGATCACTTCGGCTTCCGCCCTCGTCAGGCATTGATTTTTTGGAGCCTCGGATGGAACCGGTTCGTGAGAGCGGCCGCTAGGAATAGTTAGCTAGAGAACGAATTACGTCTTCTTAAACGAACATTGACTCTTTAGATTCGCCGGTTTTGCAGCCACATTCCATTCTCGATAGGACGAATCATACATACCTGTTCAAAGATACCGAGAACTCCAGCTTTTCAAAGAGTGCTACGCTCAGAAACAGCACCAGCAAGGCGAAGACGCAGATAATTGATTTGAAGCCCATATTTTTGCATGTCCCAAATTTGGTGTCAAAATTTCAGACCAACCGCAAAAACATTTGGTGCGCTGCCTTTATATAACCGATTATCAGTAGAGAATCTGACGTAGCCAAAAAGTATATGCGAAGGTAGCGGTCCGTGACTCTAGGCCGAAAACACGATCGCAACTCAGGACTGTGTTTTGATCCTGTTGAAATTAAGGCGTAGTTCTCTCTCCCGGCTCATCAAAACAAGTGGTATAGCCCTCCGGTGCTCTCTATGCCTTCTCTATGCTCGCCACGGATGAAATGGGTTTCCGCTTTAGAGTGGCTAGCGTGATGCCCTAACCAAGTGATGCTAGGCTTGCCTCCTTTTTTGCCTTCCTTCCTGCGTCATCGACTTCCCGAGGACATCGCCTCCAGTGCTCTGACCCGACATATCAGCATCAGGTGATGCGCGTATCAGAGGGTTCACATGGAACGACGAAGAGACAGACACGAGACATCAAGAGCCTCCTTGTGTAACCACATCTTGGACATAAAGGCACGGCTGTATCCTGCATGCTGCATATCAACGCAGGCGTTGAAAAGACTGTCCAAAGCGTTGAAAGGCTTACATGTTTACGCTTGCCTCATCCGCTTTTGGAAGGCGGTGAACACGCAGAGACAGCAAGGTTTGGCAGAATGACTAAGCGCAGAAATTTTTAACGTTTCCAGTATCCGATTTATGCTTAAACTCAACGGACGCTTCTTATTGGTCAATCCTTTCGATGCTCAGACTGCAACGTCCGCCTTCGAGGGATCCGGGACATTTCCGCTGCTTCACCAGAGCGGAACGAAGATACCATAATGGGAGCTACGGGTAGGCCGTGGCTCTCTGGGAGCATGGAGAGTGGCTGCAGAGGCTGCGGCTCTACCCATCAACAGATGGGTAAAGGCCCTGCAACATAATGCAACGGCCTACTGCTCTGCTACCTCAATACCCAATGGGGATATTCTGATGAAGTTGCTGCACCGTGATAGTATATATCTATGACGGATATAATACCTATGCGGGGTTTTAGTTTGGGGGTAGTTGGAGATATCACAGACGTCACCAAATCTGCTCAAACGCGTAACCCCCCTTTGCTTTGGTTCAAGAGAGTTGATGGATGATGACGTCCATGACTTCTGTGAGTCAACTCGGGGTATATCTACGAACCCTTCTCTCTCCAAATGAGATGACCACCCCACCACACTCTCCCGTATCGATACCCTCTACTCAACACTCCCTACACAATATCCTCTACAAAACACCCTCTACTCAACACCCCCTACACAAGACCCTCTACACTATATCACCTACTCGATACCACCGACTTACAGCCGCTTACTTGACAAAAACATCCCCATCTACCGCACTCTACCCCTATCCCAACTATTCTAAACTCATACAAAAATTCCAAACTTATACCGTCCTAATCCCTACTTAAAACCTCTCAATACACCAATTTACTCATAATGGACCGCATTTCTCTTCTTCCACCTGAAATTCGCTGCATGATCGCCGGAGAGTGCGACTCAAGGACCCTACGCTCCCTTTCACTGGTGTCAACAGCCTTTCGTGACCCGGCCCAGCGAGCACTCTTCCGTTCGATAGATCAATTGTTCGAGAGGCAGGCAGATGTGAGAGCTCTAGGAAGGCCTGGAGCAATTAACCGATACAGAACTTCCTGGATTTACCTACTCCTTCGTACGATCTTTGAATGCCCACGGTTCGCCAGCTACGTCAGGCATGTTCATATTTCAGTTGACGAAAGTTGGACCCCCGTTCCATTCTACAACAATAGAAAGGAGAACATCATCCGAAGCCCCAAAAGAGTTGTACCCCCTGAATTCAAAGAGCTAGGTCTCAAGCGCAAGAACAAAAAGCCCTTTCTTCTACATAGCAGTACATGGAACAAGACCTGGGTTGCGGCTCTCTCCCAAGGCAACGACGAAGCGATGCTGGCCGTGGCTCTATCTCAGTTTGACCTTCTTACATCGATAGATATAGCGCCAGAATTGTTCTACTACTCGGAATTCATAGCTGCCATGTTGGCCCGCCTATCTTCACCTAATCCCAAGTTCAACCATTTCCCTATGCTTCAACATGTGTCACTTTGCAGACGGGAAACCCACCATCACTCCGGAGAGTTAGGATTGGGCTTTAAAAAATTCTCAATCATGCGATATCATAATATTAGGACACTCGAGTTGAGTGCTCACGACAGCCATATGAACATCATGCGAAAGGATCTTTTTAATACACACCCGTACCTTACCACCCTCCGTCTCAAGTTCTGCGATTTAACCATCTCCACGGTCGGGGAAATCCTGGACCATACACCAGCCTTGAAGGTTTTCGAGTGCTACTTGCTCCGTGAATACTCGTCCAATACTCATCAGGCCTACAACCACCAGTCAATGATGCTTTCCGAGCTTAACTTTGGACAGTTGGCTACAGACCTTGAAAAAGTCGCCAGTACCTTAGAGGAGCTTACCATAGGCGTTGCCTGGAGTAGCGTGGGGTTTTATGCGTACGAGGAAGAGCCCAGTTGGTTCCGCGGCATCCCGGTTTACTCGCTCAGACACTTGGAGCACCTCTCGCACCTACAGATACCCGTGGAAATATTGATGGGCTTGCGTCCGTGGACTGGTCCCTTGCTTTCCCAGACCCTCCCACCGAACGTAGAGTCCCTGGTTCTGGTAGATATGCTTCCGTACCCTTACTGTGAGGACTACTTGGAGAATTACAGCGCAATGCCCATCATGAACCAATTAGAGATCTACCTCGCAGAAGACCCTCCCCGGAAGCTCCGGAAAGTGACAGTGAACGTCTATATTAATCTGGAGTTCTGTTTCTTCTACAGCTGTGAGCAAGAAGTACGGAGATATATTGACCTTGATGAAGTCCGATTGCTAGGTGTGTCTCTGGGCAATCGTGGTATCAGCTTGGAGATCTGCTTTCTCTGGACGGAATATGACGAGGCGACCCCCTTATGGAAGGGCATCTGGGGCCCCGGAACGGAAATTGAGCTCTCCGACCTCAGCCTTCACTTTGCTCCTGTAAGCACACCAGAAGGGGAAACAGAATCGGAAGAAGAGGAAGATAGTGAAGAAGCAGAAGATGATGATGATGGTTATGAAGGTAGTGGTGAAGAAGAAGAAGAGGGGAGGAAGAGAAGAAGAACAGAGTGACTGTCAGCCTGAGGCTGGGTCCGCGGCTTCGTTCCTTGCTCAATCATTATTAGTTATTTAACCCCCAGTTTCAGTTTCCTGCACCCACCCACCGCCTCATGGCATTTTGTCTCAAGTTGATCTGCTTAAATTTCCCCCCAAAATTGACCTGATTTACCTGCTTTATTCCCCCCCAAAAGTGCCAATTTTATGTCTTTTTTTTTCGAGTCTTTTTTTTTTGATATCCGACTTTCAGAAATACGCCGAGTAAGCGTGGCGATACCGCTGACTAATGTATTATAATCCTGTTGTCCAATAGCATCACAAAAATACCAAAAAAATATCAGCTCACCTCGTTGTGGGTTGTATAAAATACCGCTCCCCCTTGGCCGGCAGTCCAAGAGAAAAAAACGCCTGCAGCTTCTTCTTAATTCTTGATATCTTGTAGAAGCACGAAAGAACCGACAACCACAGAGTAGAAAAAGCGAGAGAGAGAGGCCGACCGCCTGCGGCCCCGACCAGAAGCGCAGAACCGTCGAGCGGCGCAAGTTATCGGCCCATCTGCGGCCGGGATCGATAGCTGGATCTGCCTCCGCCGTACGGAGCACGCTGCTCCCGCGATCTCCAGCTAGCTAGCGGGCTGGCCAGGGTGTGCAAGCGCTCAGCCACCAACGTCAGCCAGCTGCTGAACGGTCCCCCGATATTTAGAGCGACTCCTAGGCCCGTCTACCTGGCCCATACCACAACAGCCTTGAGAGGAAAGAAAGCCACGGCGGCCGGTTAATTCGTCTGTTTCCGAATCGCTATCGGTCTTTGAAAGATGGCCTCAGGCGCACCGCAGGTCAGTCCCGACGCTAATAGCGTGCCCACCGGCATCGATCCAGGTACGTCTGCAGCTGTCCGTCTCGTATTACACAATGCTTGATTTATATATGTTCTATCTACCTTGGTAATACCATCTTTTTTATGGTTGCATGTTTGCACGTTTGTGGTTTATTGTGGGGTATATATGGCCGTCTTTCTGGTTGGATTCGTTGCATGAAGATGTGTTTCTTTCGATATCGTACTCTGTGCCCTCCAAGGAGTGGCAGGATCATGGCTTTGATACGGACACTTACCGCCAATGCACCTGTTTCCGCCTATGATGGGTCAGCTCAAGGCGTCTCCATAAACGGGAGACTCATCTCTTGCCTACGACCCCTGAGCTTAACCGATCATTTGGCGGAAACAACTCTGCGTCTGCTTGCTTAGGGCCTCCAATTGTTCCCATCAAGAAGCCGTCGTTGGCGAATTTACCATTTATCAGGAACTTCAGTGACCCGCTGAAGAAGTCACCCAGCGGTAACTATTCGTCTAAGCGTGCTGTTTTATTCGGATGAGTTCTGATCTCGCAATACAGATGGACAACAAGGACAGCCGAAGCGTCGTGGTCCGAAGCCAGACAGCAAACCAGCCCAGACGAGAAGACAGGAATTGAACAGGCAAGCACAAAGAACACACCGCGAGCGCAAGGAACAGTATATCCGGGCCCTAGAGGTGGAAATAACCCGCCTGAGAGAGGGGTATGCCACTGATATTGAAGGCGCAAACGTGTCCATCATGCAACAGAAACAAGCTCTAGAGGAGTTGAGAGACGAGAATCGAATGCTAAAGGAGATCCTTGCATCTCACGGAATCAACTTCGAGGCTGAATTGGAGAAGCGCGGCGCTCCCGTCCAGAGTACCCCGCAGGAGAGTAGCTACGGAGGGAGCGTCGCACCTTCACTCCCTCAAATAGCCCCAGATATAGGCAGCATGAACTACCTGGGTACTCCAGAGACCTCTATCTC